CAAAATGATGTGAATGCTTTAAGAGCATATACAAGCATACATGGAAATTACGGCTCTCTCTCTACTTTTTTCCCAAAAATGATGTGGACGTTTGTGCGTAAACGTACGACTGGCTACGCGCCTGGTACAGAAACTACGAGGAGACGTTCACGTCAAAATTACGCCCTTGTGACATTATTGTAGACATTAACATTACATAAAACTTACCATGTTTATCAATACGCGTGTTTTTGCTGTGAAACCCTTCTAGATCTGTGTAATGATTGTGAGTTTTTAAACAAAATAATATTTTTTAATTCATAGGATTTTAATCCATAATTCATTACCATCTTCATGATCTCTTGCGTGAAAAGTATTCCCAAAGTATTACGTAGATATATGTAAGCCTTATTTCTTCTCATTCAAAAGTCATGGCCTTGTTTTTATGACGGACAGAGAGCTAGACAGACTGATAGATAAATGAGAATTAATACCTCCTCACCTCCACGATAGCGGTGGACAATAATGATAATATCACGAAATCACTTGCTAAATACGTTCGTGAAGTAAAAGTATTCAAAGGACATCCGAAGTGCAGTTCACTGTTTTTTATTTCTCAGTTAATTGAAAAATTGCATAAATTGTCAAATAAATTAATAGTTTTTAGAATACATGTACCTATGCCTAAAGGTCAAGTAATAGTACTTATCTGATCAAACTTTGTCATTAATAATGTCGTCGTTGGCTCTTCTTTTTCTCCAAAACAACTTGACCATTTTCAACCAAACTTGACACAGAATATCCTTTTGACAAGGAATATGAGTTTGTTCAAATGAAGCAATGCCTTTATTTAAAAAATGGGTTCGGTTATTTCCCAAAGAAAATCTGCGTAGATAGGAAACTTAAACGAAAACTCTCTGATACAATCTAGAATTAAATTATGACCACCCCTGATTAGGGTAGGGCTACCATGCATAGGCGATCACATTTTATGGGTACATATAAAAAAAATTATTCTCAAGTACAAGAAAGCTTTTATCCGTCATTTGTATCGAGGAAGCATCCCGACAGAGAAACACAACTGTAGTTTAATTTTTGTTATTTTAGTTATTACAGAGTACAAGTCTATTTACAGATTTAAAACAGCATTTCAGACAAAAAAAAAGCGTAAATAAAAAAAAATGTATTAAACAAACATGAAAATCACCGATCGTTTCATTTCATATTGAAATTAAAAAATAATAATAAGAAAAAAATATAAATTTTAATATTGTAAAGAGTATGCTTTTATTTAAAAATTCAAAACAGCACGTAGGCGAAAAAATATTACAGAAAACAAAGAAATAATATATAAATTTCAAATACATGTGTACATGCATGTATTACTCTGCGACCCAGACGGGAGAAATAAGAAAGTCTGCAAATAACCCTTGTCTCAACCCACTGTCCGGAGTTTGCGTATAGTCCATTATTTATACACTGAATTGACGACGGATTTTTTCCGTTATTTCCTGATCATGACAACGAGCACACGGCGGGTGTGACCGGTCGGCAGGGGATGCTCACTCCTCCATGGCACCTGATTCCACCTCTGATGTTTCGGAGGTCCGTGTTTGCTCTGCTCTTATTTTGTATATTGTTTAATGGACTTTGAGATTGAATACTGTTCGTTATCTCCATATCCTTTATGCATCTCTCTCCTACCCGTGGCTGCTTGATCACAAGGAGTGCCGTAATTTTGAATATTTGCGCCTTCATATTGTGATCTGATGTTCAGCTAATCGCATTGGAAATCAACAATCGACATGGCCAATAAACAAAAATATTTCGCATACCTTAATTGGATAATGAAATGTTTATTTATTCCTCATGTTTAACTGCAAGACATACGACAGCATTCCTTAACCAAAAAATAAAGGTATATGTACCAGGGGTGATCAAAAAGTTCGCGAACTAATTGAATAACTTCCATAAAAGAAACAATATTTGATTTCATTGTTAATTATATTTCAAATAAGTCCACTCCTATTTTAATGCACATCAACCACCGTTCTGCTCATGCGCGAATCACGTGATATGGGCGGTCACGTGACCCCCTCCGTAGCGTTCTGTCACAAAAGCTGAAAGATTTTTCTGAGTTTTATATGTCTTTCCATGTAAGTTAATATTTATAACAAGAACAGTTCATTTGTCAGAAATGGTCAAATCTAGGCAACAGAATGGTTGGGTATGATTATCCTTTCCAAAGATAAGCAATGCGACCATCAAAACCCAAATCTTCTGTCTCGGGAGAGACGTTTATTCAAGGTGGATATAGAATGGGTGCCTCCTTTTTATCATCTCTAATATATTTGAAATCTAAATTAAACGATATCTTAGGTATTTAATATTTATATTATTGTTAAAATATTCAGCTATTTTTCAAAGTGTAAATTGGAGGTCTTTGATAGCAAATTGCTTATTTAAAAACGCATCTCTTTTCAAACTTGCTTTAATTGCGCAACATAACAGGTATCATTTTTAACCATCTGCCTTACTTCACTAAAACGATCAATCCAGTTATTGATTGAATTTATAGGAAGTCATTTGCCTTAGTAAACTGTGTACAAATTATTTTATGCTACTGAAAAGGGATTTCTAAGATATACCATATATTGTACAGTCGTTTGTTGAACGAGTACGACTGAGACAACCATTTTTCGTCACAAGTGACCTACATACTGACTTCATTTTCACATTGTGACGTCACAAGCAAGGAGCAAAACTTTATTCAGCATATGCTATTTATAGAACTTGTGTATGGCTATGTGTGTACCAATTTTTTCTCTAATCTGAATTGCGGTTTTGTAGATATAGAGATTGTTCGCAAACTTTTTGATCACCCCTCGTACTAAGATTAGAAATAATTCAGCAAGAAGCTGAAGTATCACTATAACAAAAAGTGACTTACAGGTACTTAGGAAAATAACAAAAACTCAACCATACTCTAACTTTTCATGTCAAAATTAAAGTGTTTACGTATCACATCGCTACAAAGAGATATTGATATAGAAAATCTAATTAAGAGTTTATTGGATTGTCAGTGAAATAGACCAGGTATTGGGTGTTTTGTAATTAAGCAAAAGAAATCGTGGTTAAGTTATGACGTCATATTTTCATGATGGAAATCCTTCATGCCATATTCTTTCCTGGTCTTTTACACGTCATAAACTCAGCTAATATTTAAGCCAGTTTCAGAACTTTTTGAAAGCATTTAATTTTAGGGCACAATAAAGCTAAAACAATACCTACTTCTTAGCACTACATGTCCGTTAAGTGAATTGAATATGTAAATGATTTCTTAGTGGTATTCCGCGCAAAAGCCGCTAAAATTTGAAACCCTGTTGTTATTGAAATTGAATATCAATTGCAAATTTAACACCTTTTCTCCAGCTCATCAGGATCTAATTGTAACAACAAATAAGCGGTACATCTACCTGAGATTTATTCTAGCCTCTCATTGGTTGATTTCCAAAAAGGATCGCAAAATATTCTATATAATCTGGTTTGGTATGGGGACACACCCCCTTGACAACCAGCTGAACCATCTTTATCCATCAATTCCCTCATTTCCAGTCCTCGGGATTCATGGATAATTCCAGATTTAAAAAATGTACCTTTAACTTCAAACTATAGCTTCGCGAATTATAAAGCGTAAACTGACCAAAACCAGGTTATACTCGATAATCTGGCCAAGAATTAGAGTCATTCCTTATCTATCGCGAGTACCTCGCAGTTATCTTACTTACTACCGCTCTTTTTCGGGAGAGTCGAAAAAGCTCTAAATCTAGCGAGATTACTGAGACACATGGGATTGTTTACAGTGGTGACAATTGAATGATTGGAGCAATTTTATGCCGAAAGAACAATGTATTGCCAATTATTGAACTCCAAATAGTAGATTGTAAAATATGGAAAGTTTAGAATATTTTATCAGTTTTAAAATTTTACGATTTTCCATGAAATTAAATGAGGATAGCCCGCTTAGTTTAAAATATTGTAAAAATGTAAAATTTTATAATTAGATCCTCACAAAAAATTAATTAGGCTTGTTTAACGATTGTTAAGCAAGGTATTCCACCAGGATTTTTACCTATGTCCTTATAAATTCTAAAATGCTCAATCTCGCTTTGTATTCAATTGCACATTTTCCCCATCCAACAGACGTTTCCTACCTCCATCGCGAAAGAGTTTCGCTAAGTTAAATAATAACGATATCAAATATTGGTTACTAATGAAAAGGCCAATAGACAGCAGGAAGACAAAACCTCAAAAGATCACAAAGATATTGTATATCAGAAATTAACACAAATTTTCAATTATGTAATATCACTTCTGATCGCTAATGTGTATACTCAGAATGATTTTACAAAATAATTTTGTAAACGAATAATGACAAGATATGTGATTTTAAGACTTAAATGTTTTTGAAAAAGCAGCTTTCTCTCACTAAAAAAAACCTGGAATTCGATCTGTCGTGAGAAATTTTTGTTTAAAAATTGTTTAAATGTGTTGCAATGTCGTCCGGTTTGATGTTAATCAATTTGAAAAGATGTTTTTCCTTCCTTTTTTCCATGTTCCTTGGGTTAATAAGTACTGTAGACGTTCTTTTTTTCCACGGGGTTATAATTCCGCGGAATCTCAACATCTGTCTAATCCGCGAGTAGAAAATTCCGCGGATTTCCTAGACTGTCACTATATGCCTTACATTTATATCAAGTACGCTTGGACAAATTTCCTCGGAAAATTAAATACCACGCGGTATACCAAGTACTTCTACAGTATCTAAATCTATAGTATATCACTCAGCACTTCCTGTACAGGACTCCCGAAGTATCTCACTGCTGCTAATGTTTTCGTGAGAAGTGAGGAAACAAGCTTCTAAAACATTTTATGGGATTTGAATCGAATACCTGTTTGTTTCATATAACTTTTCTTGTGCAGGTTGTATTGATCAATCTTCTTCAAGAAGTCGTAAAAACAAAGATACAAATTAATTTTTATTACAAATTAAAAGCAAGCACTCCAAAACAAACATTACATATTTATGCATGTATGACATAAATATAATTGCATATTAGGTTCATGGAATAGTAAAAAAAAAAGTAAATAAAAATAGCACCTAAATTTTTTTATTACTTTGATCATTAAGTTAAAGGAGTTTAATTGTTTTAGAGGTTTACTTTATATTGACCGAAAAACAAATCATAAGGTATGAATTGACCATATATTATATAAATATAATGTACAGTCGCATATAAAATTAAATATAAACTAGAAAGGCTGACAACATAATGGCGATAGCTGATAGAAGTTTGGTTTTTCCTGAGAATCAAATATAAACTAGAGAGGCTGACAACATAATGGCGATAGTTGATAGAAGTTTGGTTTTTCCTGAGAATCAAATATAAACTAGAGAGGCTGACAACATAATGGCGATAGTTGATAGAAGTTTGGGTTTAACTGAGGCAGCTCCTCCTGTGTTATCCCTGCCACCTGTAAAGAAAACAAAATATGTCATAGATTTAATAAAAGTACGTCACTTTTTAAAGTGACAAAATATTATATATATTTCTGTTGATCATTGAAATAAAGATAAATGATAACACTGACTATATTAAAATAAAAATAAAAGAAATTCTAAATTAAGAAAAAAAAATCAAAAGAGATGCTTACTAAGAGTCGTTACGGTTGTTGATTCTACAAAAGATTCAAACATTAGATAATTACATAAAATGTTCGTATAACCACCGGAATATAAAAATAAGATTTTTCCCCCCTCAAATCAGAGAGGGATTAATAATAAATAACTAGTTGTTTTTTTGTTTTTGGTAAAATTCTAAGATTTATTTTATCTTTAAGGCATATTTATTGAAATATAATGATAATATAATGATGGAAACATTGTTAAGATTAAAAGGAAACAATGTTCAAGAAATAACCCAGTATATTACCTGGTGTTGTGATAGAAGGATCTGTAAGAAAAGAAAGAATTATTATAGTTGATCGTATTATACTTAAATTGAGAACATAAATAGAGAACTAAAGATGTTTCATAACAATCTAATTAAAATAAGAATTTTTAGATCCGCGCCGTATACACCCTGTATGTGTGTAATGCAGAGTGTGTACGGCTCGGATCTAAGAATTCTGAATTTAATTAGAGTGTGTTTAATAACAACGTCATACTATATGTTTTAAACTAAATTATTGTCTTTTTGTAAAATCAAATGATAAATATTATTCTAAAATTGAATTTATACGACAAAAGACGTAAGAATTACTAAAATTAGAAATTATTTTTATTACATATTATTTCAGCATAATTCAATACTTACCTATGACTGTAATATTTTCAGAAAAAGCTGACGTGATACCTTTAATATCATGCTTTACTTTACAAGCGTATGTACCAGCATCTTCTAGTGTCAGGTCTAATGAGAGAAAGTGTTTGTTGCATTAGAAATTATATTAGATGCACTTGTTATGAAAAAATGCAATGGAACAGAAGCATTGCAGTGTACCTGGAACTCTAAGTTCGAAGTAAGTCGTATTCTGTACCGTAGTTGCATTACACGTATAGTTCAAATTTAGCCATATTTTTTGACCGTTGTGACAATAGTCAGTATTCTTAACTATCCAATAGACGTCCACATTCGTTATATTATCATCAGGGAATATTTCCACGTCACATATTCCTCGATAAGTCTCACCGATCCGATAGGGTCCAAAGTGAAGATTTAATCTTTGACCAATACTGATCTGAAACTCCGCATCTAAAAATAAAAAAAATCAATCTTTTTCGTTCACAGATACATGTAGCCATCTACTTAATTGAGTGTCTCAGAGAAGACAATGCAAAATAGCAAAAAATGTTCCACAAGCTTACATCTCAAATATTTTAAAACGGGTATAGAACTGGAAGAGCATCCCAAGGAAGTCCAAATTTTGAATGCAATACTTGATATTGCGATAAATTCAATGTGATGATCATGAATAAAACATGAAGTGGAAGGCCTGAAATCTAATCGGTGTCCGATTTGACATAGTTAGCTAGGCTCAAAAAGAATTTATAATTGGATTTTACGAGAAGCGCTGACTTTTACAGTTGACGAATTACTCTTACATAAGGACAGTGTATGGAAGTTCTTTTACGATATAAATATTTAGCTTAACATTTAATCAAACGAAAATAACGGGTTATTTCAATGCACATATAAGTTGTCCTTCAAGAAAACGACAACCACCCTACCCTTAACCCCAGGTCTTCACATGTAAATGCCCCTCACACCATACCTATGACCACAAGAAACTTAGAAAGGTTTTCTTACGTATTATCAATTCTGTACTTCCGTACATGATAGAAGTTTAAATGTCCATGTAAACCGTGAACTGTAGAAGTCCATCCCTACTAATGTGTTCGAAACCTTTTATTTTTCGGTGTTCTGCACATTATAACACCCGATGAGTTCAGAGTAGCTCTGACAGTGGCTCTGGCGAGAGCTAGCGAGACTTCAGCGAGATAGGGTAAATTATTCACGGAAATGTGGCTAGGAAGTGACTCCTCACGTAAGACATGTGAACAGAAAAGTTATGTTGCGTTTAGTTTTCACCACCCTATAATATAATTCTGTAGAAATGTACTTCAATCGATCTTTCTTGAATCCATTCAAGTTTAAATTATTTTTAAGTATTCCCTATGATACAATTTTCTGCTGTCATGAATTAAAATTTCTTTTTGACAAATATTTTGCATGGGAACCGGGACTATATTTTCTAGCGTCAGATTAGCAAATGAGGCACCAATGTGACTTTAACTGACAAATCAGATGAATGAGAATAGCATTATGGGTTACTATACGAATACTACAGGAATTTTACGCTTGATAAATTCCTTTATTGTACTATCGGTGAATACAATTGCCAGGTGGATTCCCTGGCCGACACACGTGATCACGAGTACAGTTATGTAAAAATGTTTTGTCCATTTAAATGCATACGAGAAGCTGTTCGTTTTCCTTACCCTTGAAGTGCTGGTTTTCTGAACTTGACACGAACTACGTATACATTTTATTAAACATATTTGTCTCTAGTTAATAACAAATTAAAAACGCCCGTAATGTTTTTCATAGTTTCTAATGTTTGCATTTTGTTCATAAGAACATTTTTTTATTTTGCACTCCATTGACATGATCATAGTTTGACCTAGGCCTGAACCACGCGTTCGAAGTAACATGTAAGCATGTATTTGGCGTAAACGTATTCAACCAACAATTAATTGGTCAGTTGCTCGTGGTAAGATCCTCTGTGCGCATTAATAGCAATAGCCATATAAGGCAAACAAAGGTTTGTCAGTGTAGATGATATTACACATTTTTTTTACCAGCTTATCGGTCGCTAGTGAGCTGTAATTTTTTGCAGTTAACTATAAGATGTATTAATTGTTATTTAACCCCCCCCCTTTAAACCACCCATTTCTGTTGAAAATCATGAAAGTCTTTCAGAAAGGTGTGGAACACACATTTTTTACAGGACATGTTTTCAGAAGAAACAGACTATAGTAATTTCCTGTTTACTGCTAATTTCATTTATAAAACCGGATCTACCCTATAACCTTTGAATAGGTAAACCTTAACCACGTGTCTTGAATTTAAATCACAATAACATTAGTAGGGGTGAAGTCAGTGCTTCTCGTAAAAGTCCATTACTAATCCTTGGAAATGGACATGTTTCAAAAACTAACCATATACCTTCTTAAGGAGACATGGCATGATATGCTAATTCATGAATGCCCCAAAGAAATAATTTATAAATACAATACAGGGCACCCAAACACATGTAGCGATATTTCATGATTACGATAAAAAATCTATATACTCAGTAATGACGCTTAATTTTGAATGCTCCAAATTATGTACAGGTATAGTATTTATCCTAGTGATTTATCTTGAATATGTAGGCCCGGGGCCTGTTTTACAAAGGGACGTACGACTTAAGACCATCTTTTTAAAGGAAATGTGGTAAGATATTTTTACACAAATAATTTTGAAGTAGAATTTTAATTTGCAAAATTTTACAATCATCTGGAGTTTTTTGTCTTAGTCGTAAGTTCTTTTGTAAAACGGACCCCATATTTAACGTTCGAGGAAAGCCTCGTAGGGTATAGTTAAGATGTAACATCAATGCATGGTTGGTCCAGGGAGAGCTTATAGTTACTTTGGAGTAGACCTGTTCCTCAAACTTTAACCGGGACGTTGACCTTTACGCTGACGCGGGAGGGGGGGGGGGTTGTATAAAGTCATCTCAACTTTTTTGTGGTGAGCTGAAAAAGGGGCCTTCAGGAAAAAATGTATAAAATGATTAAACGAATTGATGAAATCTTTTCTGCGAATTTTATTCGTTACAACAGATTTACGGACTGAATTCGTTGTTACATTATTTTTTAATTACCTGAAATGAATTCACTAATTAGACAATTCACCTGAAAAAAAAAATTCCAAAATATATTTGATATGTCTTCAACGGGCTTTTAAAAAGGACCTCTCTCTGTATATATACACACACTGTTTGTAATTTTGAACTTTTTCAATTTAACCTCAGTTCTAGCTAGCAAAAACTTCGTACATCGGCCTATTACGTATAATGAAACAAATGGAGATAACAAACAGTATTCAAGATCAAAAGTCCATAAAACAATATACAAATTTGGACCGAAACAAACACGGACGTCCAAAACATCGGAGACGGGATTAGTTGCTATGGAGGAATGGGCATCCTCTACCGACTGGTCACACCTGTTGTGTGCTCCTTGTCATGATTGGTGAAATATTGGAAAAATCCGTCGTCAATTCAGAAAAATGTGTATCTTCTTTTAGCCTTCATGAATACTGAATAATAATTCACTTAACTAGAGAGAGAATAAAAAGCTACTAAAACATTATTTTGCATTATCCGAGTTCATAATTAAGCGTAAGAAATGATTGTCATCAAATGTCATATTGAAATATTATTAATTTTCTACTCACTTAAATTCGTTGTATGTGCCAAAAATACAAAAAACAGCGATAGCTTGCAGAAAGGAAAGCATGTCTATGACCATCTACAAATAAATTTGAATTTAAGCATTAGTAAACAAATAGAAAATACGAAAACCTGGTCATGATTCATGACAAGATGCTATTTGCCATAACGTATTGTAAAAAACCTTATAAAAGTATAAAGTATAATAGCTTAAATTGTTTCTTAATGGAGAGTTCATTTTGCCAGAAGAGTTTGAAATATGCATTAAAGTTTTGTAAACACTTCTTTCTTATAATAAAAAAAAAAATACTGCAATTAGTTTTTTTTATGGTAGAATAACCTCGTCGTCCTTTTGGGAAAACTTGTTTTCGGTCACAGTTAATTTTTATGCGCCCGGATCAATGGATCGTGGCTGTAGGCCTTTGTTTTGGTGATAAATTAAAAACTTATTGTAAAATAATTATACTTAGGACAATTTTTTTTACCGAACAATTGCCTGTGTTTTGAACCATGATTTTGGATAGCAAAATTTCTTTTTATTAATCAAGTTAATAGATGGTTTTCTTATGATATATTTTGCCTCGGAGTTATTCCCATTAGCCTCCATCTTGTACGGCAAAGCAGTGAATTTTCCTCTTTGAGCAACCAATTTTTAACATGCATGCCAGAAATATATGGGGTGAAATATTTACAATCTTAAGATTATGAATAAATAGAGGCTTTAACAAACGTGTTTGTATACTGAAAGGAAAAAGAAACGCAGGGTAAACTTTTGAGGTGAATCAAAATTACTTTTCTTTTAATTTCTTTCCGTATTCTTATTTTACTTTTAAGATCATCTTTCAAAAAAGATATAACCAAAATCCCATTTGATTTTGTTTGATAATTTTTGAGTTATTGAAACTTATATGACGATACCCCCCCCCCCCAAAAGTGAAAATCGAAAACTCTCATTTTCTTCAATGTCTCTTCCACGCATCTGTCAGAGCCTTATTTCTCCTTTGCATGGAATTCATGAGAGTGTTTATCTTTCAAAGCCTGGCTATATTGGGCATGGGTGACCACGCCAAAAAATTAGTCAAACGACGCGCGCCTGCGCCAGTGAAAGGAACACACAGTAAATTGACCGGCTCAAAAAAACCAAATTGCAGAATTGTTTTGTTTTATTTGTCGTGTGAATGTAATAATTATAACAGTCTAGTGTACATAAGGCGGTTTCTGTGGTAGTAAGGTGGCGATGTTAGAGATGGCAGGATGAATAACCCGCCAGTAACATGACTCTGTTTCGCGTTAACGTCATCGTCACGTTTGATTGAAAACTATTTCAGACCCGCTCTGACAATGGGTAACAAGTTTTATGGGAGAAATTTTACAAGAAACTGTTTAGTTATACATTGTTGTTATTTTTATTAATTGGGCAATTTTAAAACCAGACCCCATGGAACTTCCGTAAACTGTAACAAGATTACAAGAAATTCGAATAGTCTGTAAATATTGAAAAACGATGTGTATACCTTAGGTGCAGCAAATGGTGCAACAAGATTTGATGACAAACTTGTCATCAAATTGCACGTGTTTTGGGCTTTTTAGTGTTTTCCCTAAGTGACGTCATACATTTCACGGTTGAGTAATTCTGAACACTGATTTTACTGCATAATAACTTAATTTCTCATCTGATCAAAATTCGTAATTTTCGGCCATGCGGTCAAAAATATATCGAATATTATGCTACTCTGCGATTCTTTTTCCTTTCAGTATAATTATAAGAAAAATAGTGTTTTACTTCATATTCAAATTCTTTACTTTACTTACTTTAAGTCAAGATATACCGTATGCTGAATATATGTTTCTGACTTTCAACTGGTTTGGATATAGTACTTGTATATTGATCAGACCCTGGAAATGTTTGTCTTTTGTTGTATTTGATATTCCTGCAGTGTTCCATACTTAATACTTATCATCTTTGTCGGCAGACATTCCACACACCGACACTGCGAGATGTGTATAGATCTAAATATCTGATTTACCAACGAGAAAAAGATATGTTAGTAATATACTGTACCATTACTAAATAATCAAAACATGAACACATTACGACATATTTCTAGTTTTCTTGCTTACCGTATGAATTTGTTAATATTCATGACCATGAATTCGTAAATATATGCATACCCATCTCTCAAAGTAATCTCACTGCATTCATATTTTTAACTAATGTGATCAACTATATTTTTTTACTCTTCATAATGTCCAAAAATATAAGTACATACCCTTTTTATTGATAATCATTCAGACACAACAGCAATAACAATGAAAGGAATAAATCTCAGAGGGCCTTACATAGCATCTCTGCGCACAGAAACTAGGAGGAGCCGTTCACGTTAAAATTAGGCTACTGTGACAGCGCTTTAGAAATTCATGTTACAGAAAAAACTACCATATAAATACGCATGTTTTTTGCTGTGAAACATTTTTTATGTAATGATTGAGATTTTTAGAATTTGTAAAAGATTGGAATGTTTAATCAAAATTCCTTTTTTTTATTTCAGTCTCAAAACTTATTGAGATGTACAATTTTTTAAACGCTATTTTTTGTTAAATTCTTTAGTTTTTTGCTCTAGGATTCATTACTATTTTCATGATCTTTTGCGTGAAAATTATTCCTTAAGGTTGCTCTTCAAAAATTCCTTGTCCATTTATAAAAAAAAACTGTTTGGTTGCCCTCTTCCGAACGATTGAATAAAATGGTCCGATTCAAAACTTTTTTTCTGCATTCCTGGATGTTTTATCTTTTTATTCCACAAAGCCCGTCAATAAAATCTGCATAAAAAAGATTTTCTTACCATCCTACTGACCCAATAATTTTACTCTGAGTTGGGAGAGGGCAAACAAACATTGTATAGACCACAAGTTTTGTCACAAGTAATTTATATACTAGTATGTGAAATATAAATGCCCTACTTCAAAAGTCATGCCCTAGGTTAAAGTTTTGGTGACGGGCGGACAGCTAGACAGACAGACAGCTTGACAGACGGACAAACGAATGAGATTTAATGCCCTTCGCTTCCACGATGGGTTGGAAAATAATGATGATGTCATATGTAATCACTTGCTCAATTCGTTTTCCTGAAGTAAAATTATTTAAATGACATCCGAAGTGCAATCAACTGATATATCTGTTTCAGTTGAAAGTTGCATGAATTTGCAAATAAATTAAAAGTTTTTAGAATACCTGTGCCTTATTAAATATCAAGTACTAGTGTACTTTTCCGATAAAATTATGCTCGTTGCATTGTCTGACGTCATTGTTGTCGACGTTGGCCCATCTTCTCCAGAATGACTTGACCACTTTCAACAAAACTTGACACGGGGTATCCTTTGGTCAAGGAATTTAGGTTTGTTCAAGTAAAAAAAACAACGATGGGTTCGGTTAGTTAAAAAAATCTTTTCCCTCAAAATATCTGTGTCGATATTATGACTGAATCAATGAAACATAGATTGATTTATGTATGCACAAACTACATGAGCCATAATTTATTTCAAATATACATGAAGATGGGATGTAGAATACCTTAAAACCTTGAAAATAAACTGTGACTTATTTTCAGTTTTGGTAAGAAAGTGGAGGCCAATTTTCAAAACCGTCTTATTTTCAAATCGCGGCTTATTATCAATACAGAAAACCGGCAAGCAACGAGAACATAATCACAACTTTTTATCAATAAAATAAATGGTAATCTACAGATTGAGAAAAACTTGCTCGTTCTAAAAACAGAATATCCAGATTAACTTCCGTAAGAGTTAAATGAATAGTGTTCAAGTATCGTAATTCTGTGCCGTTTTAAAAACGATGAGCTTTTAGCAGTGGAGACTATACTAAATGTACATCGTGAAGTTACGGAAAATTGATGACCGACTTATTTTCAAAACAGGCTTATTTTCAAATAATTTTCAATGCAAGAAATAGGTGGCTAACTTTCAAAACCGGCTTATTATCAAATCCGTCTTATTTTCAAGGTTTTAGGGTATGTCTTAACGCTTTGTTAAAAATCTTGAAATTCTAATTCAGCTGTTAATATGCATTTACAGTATTGCAGTTTTGTATAATCAACGTAAGAATTCGTAATGCTAATTGTTCGAAATAGAGATATATAAAATCTTTTATTCCATGTTTACCCCTTATCCCGTTGATGAAACAATTGGAGATAATGAACAGTATTCAAGATCAAAAGTCCACATTAATCATTGGATATATTTTATATCCTACAGTTTTGACGTCTCAGTATGTTTAGCGTTAGAGAAATTATGTATTTTGTAAATGTAAAACATTGATAGTAATGTATAAAACCTGGGATAAAAAGCTTCTCCAATGAATCGTTGTTTGATATGATTATCATCCGACCCAACGTGTTTTTTTTTAAATAAGAAAACGTGAATTTTCATAGAAAGCATCCATTAATCACCATGTTAAGGTCAGTCGATCGACATTTGTGTCAATTGTATATGCATTTTCCTTTCTCAGACCAAGGAGCACATGGCAAGCGTAACCTGCGGATAGGGGCTGGTTGTTCCTTAGTTGCACCTGATCCCAGTTTTTGATTCTTTGCTCTGCTTCTGAATTGTGTTATTTTAATGGACATTTAGTATTCACGATCTCCGGGTTTGATTTCAAATTTTATTAAATATGAATTGCTGTTTTTATTTTGAAATAAGATTTACATGTTTATGCATTAGTTTTTTATTTTATCTTATATACGTTTAAAAGAGTTGCTTAAAATACTTCATGCTATTAAGTACATTACTCGCGGATTATTGCTTTTTTTAATGCAAAATGGAATCAGAATATCTGAGGCATAATAGTATTAAAGAATTAAGAATCGATGAATAGTGAGACATGGAATTTGTTCTGTTGTCATTTAAATTGGAATATCAATTGGAAATTTAATGAACACATTTTGAAAGGCTCAATGGCAATTAATAGTAGCAACAAATTATAATTAGCGGTACATTACTTTGAGATCTAATTAAGTTTTTTTCATATTTTCATTTTATTTCCGTTTTTCCTTATAGTCTAAACAGACTTACA